CAGGGTTGTAGGAGAAAACTACACCTATTAGGAAAGAGGGAAGGGGAGAAACAACAGAAAAACCTTTGAGAGATTTAAAATCTTAAGCAAATACTGAATATGAACATAAGCCTGAAGATTAAGAATTAGTCAATATATCTGGTATCTGATAGAATAGTTGAGCAGTCAGGGCAAGGGAAGCCTTGATGATTACATAGAAAAGAGGAAAATTTTTGATTTTTATTTACTTATTCTAACCAAGAATATTCCCTTCAGTGAGATGTTTTTAGAAGAAAATACTACATCTAGGTAGATGGTGATGCACATCAAATCAGTTTTTGAAAGGTTGCTACACCTCTAGTACCATACTAATGTCTAATAAAGTTCAATCTGGGGAACAGGAGTACAAGAAATTTGTAATTCAGTTTCAATTGAGACATACCAGGTGAAGTTGATGCATAAGTGTAATAATTTACTCATTTACAAGCTGATTAAACATCTTTTTCTTAGGAGATAAGTATTTCCTGAGAAAGATTAATCTTATTCTCATATAAGCACCTATTAAAAAAATCAAATTAAACTCATTCTGATCTCAAATGCCTACTTATACAGGTTTAAACTGAGGTGCTCATCATTTCTGATCCTATTATTACAATCCAAAGCATCCACCTCCCCTGAGATAATAGTGAAAGTGTTACAACAGCTTTTGAAAAGATACTATGGAGTCATAGTCTGATTCATACTGAGTTATTAAATTGCTGGATTTTACAAATGCAGTAGCCTGCTTGTAATAGCAAACAAAAAGGCTGAAAGAATGTGTGATACTCAAAGCATAATAGGACTGATATAAACCAGCTGGTGAAACAAACCAATTAAGCACTGCAGAACAGTCATAAGTACTTTATTCTATATATCAGTGATCACAGACAGCTGTGTAGATGGCACAACACTGATGTCAAATGAAATTGCCAATCTAATTGCTGTCACATAGTTATCCTTTTCCTAGTCTACTTTCCTCTACAATGAACATAAAGTTCAGATTAGAAGATAATTCCTTTGATAGCAAAAGAGATAGAAATTCTGGAAATACTTTGCCTGAGAATGTGCCAGGTAATAATTATAAGTTGCTGCTGAATGAATGACCTTACAACAATAGTACTGTATTTCAGTGAACAACTTTAATCCTAAGAAAGAAGGGATTTGAATTTATGTCAACAGCGCACTTTCAGTAAAGTTTGCAGGTGGGTTTTAAGCTTTGGAATTTTGTCACACATATAGACACAGACTTATATATATACACACACCAGTATGTGTATAGACTGATAAAGAAAAAAAAAAAAAGCTTTTGGGCTGTGAAACTGTGAGCTACTGTGGCTCATACATTTGATGGGATGCTTTTTGAGGGCAGACATAAGATAGCCATATGCACCAATCTCTCCAGCAACTACTTAAGAGTAATTGCTGCAGTACTCAGCTGATGCTAGCAAATCCTGCCTTGTCGTGGACTCTAAACACTATGCATACAAAAATTAGCAGCACTTCTAGTTATCTCTGAGTGAAGGCAGAACAGGCTTTTATTGCCTGTGGGGGATTACACAGACTTTGCAGAGTGCATTCCCACACAGCAAGGCTGGGAAAGGGGTTGAACTGAGCAACATCCTTTTATGTCCAAAACTTGGGGAAACTGTGTCACTGAACAGACTAGATAATTGTCATGCATCTTATTCCCAAAGCAGTTATCAACAGCTAAAATCTGCATTGTTAGGCATTTACTCTTAAATGTCTAGTCAATTTACACCAGATAACAGAATCCATAGCACAGCAAATAATTAAACTAGATTATCTGCTCAGCAAGTTATAGATTAAGCTGCTAGAATACTCTGTCTTTTGCTGACTTAAAATGAATGAAGGACAATTTTTTTGCTACTACTGGTTGCTCTTAAAGACAAGAAACACAGCAAATACATGAAATTGTAATGGTTGCTTAGTTTTGGAATAAAGTTTTCTTGCTACACACAAGTGTCTTTCATTTCTACTTGATAAATTTGATTGAAATGCATTCAATTTCTTTTTATCCCTAAAGGCAAAACAGTCGTAATAAGATGTGTAATATATTTTCATCTCTTATGTCATATTAGAAAATTAACAGAAAGAAAATGTGGAAGGCTAGTCATTCCAGGCATATGCAGCCCATTAATTAAATAAGTCTGCAGTAGTTGCTTATGCTATTTATGAAAGCCTTATGAGCTTGTGTGGTGCTGTGCTTTTTGGATGTCATTTTCATTCATTATACCCCAGTGTCGCAGAGTATTCTAAATTAATCAAGAGCAACTTAAAGACAAGAACAGGAATACCATTATGATTAACGCTCATTACTTTCAAGTATATAAGTTCAGGTACCTAAAAGTTCCTACAGAACAAAGCACCAACAATTAAAATCTGCTATAAAATTTAAGGAGCACTTGTGTACTGGGACTTGAATTAATCAACTTTAGAATTAATTAAAAAGTTATCTTAATATAATGTTAAAGCAAAAGAACTATGAAAGAAATTAAATATAATAAACAAATACTTTCTATTGTGACTCACTGAATGGGGGATTTTACTGTTATAATTCCTAAATTTTTTTATATTACAATTAAATTTATGAAATTAGGAATTATATCATTAATATTTTAAAAGACAGTATATCCTGCTTTTAAATAATTGCTTGTTGAATGATTTTATCCATAAATACTACATGTGCTAGAGCTCTAGGAATCAAAAAATAGTGCTAGAAAAATATTGCGACTTTTGGACTTATGGTTTTAATTATTATGGGGGCAGTCATATTAGCTTTAATACTGTTTTATTCCCTGTAGTCCTTAAGAAATACTATTTTAAACTCCAATTTCTAATTTGACTGTTAGAAAACTTTTTCAGGCTTCTGGCCTGGATTTTGAGCCAAGAGTGATTGTTAGTAATAGTAGTTTTTTCTTCCTAATATTTACATCCAATCAGTGGAATACTTTAAGGCCAACTCTGTGCCAACATAGAGTAAGGATATTATGTTTGATAAAACTCTTTTAACCACTGGTATTAGAAGCTAAGGAAAAAAAAATAATTAAAAAGCACAATAATGAGTTTGTTACATATTTTTAATCTATTTTCCCATGAAAATCAACACCAGTTTAGTTTCTGTCAGTGTAACATTTTCTAAGACACACCCACTGTTGCATTATTGTTATTTGAGAAAATACTTCTACTGTTTTGGAACTCATCCTAATTAACTGCTCTAGTGATATAAGTTTAGTAAATTTCAGAGTCAGCACAGACTTTTTACCTCTTTGAGGTACAACCTCTGTGATCTCATGATAATTTACCTTTTCACATACTTTGTTGTTTGCTTACTTCCCTAAACATGATATAAAATAAATATAATGACAAGAAGAATTAGTAAAATTCCCGACTTAACATGACTGCAGCATGACTTAATACCACTGATGTCACCAGTTAAATGAGTATAATTTTCCAATCTGACAATAAATTCAAAAGAACAAAACACATTGCATATGAGTGAAAAGGATAGCAAAAACTCATCAAAATATCTATGTGGAGAACAGGAAGGCTCAGTGAAGATTCACAAAATTTCAAAACTACTACATTATGTCAAGCAGTAATTAAGTTATTCAAAAGAAAATTAGAAAAAGTTAAATTTCGCCACACCTTTCAGTTTTCTGAAACTGCGAGTATTACAAGATCTAGATAAAATTATGAAACTTGGTGGATGTATAAGAGAATTGAATAGAGCAGTAAAATAAATTTATAATTTTCATAACAATTACAAATATCACATAAAAACTGCATCTATCCAATATTTAAAGAAGGAACTATTTCTCAGTAATCACAAGGAAATACTGGCTAACATCATATAAAACTGTCTATTTATAGAAAAGCCATAGAGAACAAAATCTGTAGCTCATTTTTTTTCTTGTGAGGCACAATTTATTGTCACGAATGTCATAATTCTTACCTGAGCTTTTGTTCTCATTGGGCCTAATGACAAGCAAAAATGGAGAACTGATTTCTCCAGTGACAGTGCAATTTTTCCAGATGAAAGAATAGATTTCTTCCCAGTAAGGTATCTCGGATGCAATATCATTTCACTTCTCATTTTCCCAGATCATGTCCATAAGCCAGAGACACGGGAAAGGAATTTTTATTGGGTTCTAGTCCTTCAAAAATGCATCAGACCTTTTTAGTTGAAATCACTTGTTTTAGTAAGATAATAGCTTTCTGGTTTTTCTCCTCCAACAATAAAAGAAACAGTGAAAACACAGGTTTCTCTTAAGAAAACTGCCTGGAAAATTTCTCACTATGTTCTATTGAAACAAGTACTTTTGTGATTAGCATTAATAAGAAAAGGTATTGCTTTTTAAGGCAATTTTAAGGATTGAAAACGGAAAATACAAAATGAGAATTCTCCATGATTGGTCCATTCTTTTTTATTCTCTCTCCTAATGATTGGACTTGTTTTCTATTCTTGTGTTGGTAAATACAACTAAACCTTTGAACAAAGTTCTAAAAAAATGGATAGTGACTTTGACTAAAGAGCTATAGCCAAGTGACACTGGTAAGCAAACTGACAGCTCCAGAAATTTTGCGTGGCAGAATTTGCTACTTAGTTTAGTTTCATCTAAGGTCTCCCTGAAGGCAGTAGGGTTAATGCATTTCCCTCAGACTAACAGGTAAGTCTGTGCTTGGAAATAATTTTTTTTTCTTGTAGAGGAATAGTTTCAAATAAGCTTCTGTTAACAAAGTAGTGTAGGATGCTCTGGTATAGTTATTTCCTGGTATAGTTATTTTCTGGTATAGTCCTCAGAAAAGTGAGAGAAAGTAAGCTGCAGACCATTACTTAATTGTTTTACTATTAGCAGACAGCCTCTAGGCTTTTCCTAATTTTTCTTCTGTTCCCCAATAAGTCACTGGGTATATGTTTACCATATGACAGGAGAGCCTTCTCCTAGTGGTTGTCACCACACTGGAAGTGAACCTTGCCAACAGTCATCTCTCAAGGTGAAAGGATGAGCAAGAGTAGTTCTCAGTGAACTGCTTTGGGTAGCTCTTGAGCAGTAAGGTGAGGCCTCTTTCATATCTCTGACATTAACTGTCTTACCTGCCTCATGGGAAAATCCTGCTAGTGGAATCATTTGCCTCGGAACTTGTTATCAGTTTCCCTTTGGCTTTAATAGAAGCATCACAGAATCAGCTGGTGGCAAGCAGGATACACACAGAAAGGTACCTCGGGGGATTAAATTCCCAGTGCCTTTCTTCTAAACAGCTTCCAGATGCTTCTTTTAAGCCCTAGACAAATACGATGCATAAAAGTACCAGGTGCTCAGGGCTAGGATGCTAAAAAGGTCATGAGCACTTACAGCTCCCATTGACTTCAGGTGCAGCTGAGGGTGCTTAGCAAGACTCAGAAGGAGGTTGGCAACTTACAGCAGATTAGAACTACATTCTAAAAAAGTTCCTCTCTTTTTGTTTTCTTTTTTAGAATGGCATGTTACTCATAAGATACTTATTACCTTAATTTGATATCTCCTAACAGCTTTAAATAGTAATTAGCAAAACTATTCTGCAAAGTAAACAAATAAAAGTTGGACTTGTTAGTAAATAACAGAAGGACAACTGTATGTTAGGATTTAATTATAAGAAAAAAGTTATACTTGGCAGAAGGCATCTGTAATTTGTGATTTCATCATTTTATAAAGCTTCTTTTAATGGATTAAAATCACTTCTGGCAGTTTTCTCCCTTATGCTACCATAAATCACAACTAAACCCAAATCTCTACTTTAAGAAAGATAGCTGTTAGAAATGTAAACAGAAATCTGTGAGTAGGAATAAGTAAAAGTAATATCATGATTGCCGCACTTTTTAATAGCCAAAGTATTTCATAAGATGCTTTAAGTTGCTGTAAAACAAGTTTTCACATCTTTGCAGTTGTTTTATGTGTACCTCAAGGAATATGAATACATTCAGATAGTCTTAAAAATAGGAACATATTATATCCAGGTAATCTTACAATGTTTTAATCATTATCATACCACTGTAATGAATGGAAAAAAAATGTGGAGTTTTTTGGTTTGGTTGATTGGTTGGTTATTTTTGGTTTGGTTTTGGTTTGGTTTTAATTAAATGTCAGAAAGCTTTTGGTCAAGCCTGCTAATCTGTAAACAGCTAGATGTACTTTTCTGAGATATACATTGCAGAACTGTAGCAACCAGCCTTAGGAAGAAATAAAAATGAAAGTTTCTTTCATATAATTTTTCTGGTTTTGAACATTGTTTGGTTTTCCTTTTTTTTCCTCTGTGTTAGTTTGTGAGAGTCAATATTAATAATCCAAGAAAATTGTGAACTGTAGAGAGTTTCTATGACACGTTGGTGTGTTGAAGTGACAAACCAGCACTGTAAATCTATATTCAAAATAGGAAAGAACAGCATTACAATCTTGTTAATCACTAGCATAAATATCTATTAGTCCTTAAGTCTAGTAGGATGGAGGTAGTAGGAATCTAATCTTTCCAGAAATATAATTGGTATAATGCCAGAGCATGTCTCTTATCTATATATTAGGACTGTGACTTCAAAAACTTGAACATTTATAGCTAGATGGTATGAATTCAAAGAGCATAGTTTGCATAAAAAATGCAGCAAAGAAGTATCAGAAAATTTTGTAAAAACAATTTATATGTACAGGAAATATAAATAATGTCTATAGACAAAATATCATTCCGTATATTTTTGTTTTGTTTTCTAGGGCTATAATGGATCATGAAATATATAAAATGTATATAGTTCAGCTATTTCAGTAAGGGAAACACCTCAGGGAACTATTGTGCCAGAATCTGAAATACAGCTATGATCCCATTGTGCCACTCAGCTGCTACAAATGAACAATAACCCAGTTGAAAATTGCTGGCAGAGGATTTCCTGTCTTCAGTGAATTCTCTTCTGACATATATATATCATTCCCAGGCAGTATAGTTTTATCTCTTCACTGTGAAAAGACATATCTCAAGAGTAAGAAAGTTCATGGTACAGTCTTTCTATACTCTTTCTCTAGTGATATAAAAACCCTACCAAAGTTCTGAAGCACCAGTAGAATTAGACCCGGGAGCTCAAAAGAGTTGAGACAGGCTCAGACCCTTCATATCTTTTATCCCCTGTGTTGAATCAGTCACAGGTAAAGTAGTTGTTCTCTAAGAAATTTTCCTTCGTATACTTCATTTTTTATAAAATTTTAAAATTAAAAATGCATTTTCAACCAATTTGTATTTGTAGCATAGTAAAAACACTGCATTTACTATGCTAGTTACAGAACAAATGGGATTTTTTTTTTTAATATGGGGATTTTCACCAGTAAGATATCTATTTTATCTATCATATGAAGACAAGGAGAATATTTGCAATAAAAACAAGTATGTCCTCTGTAGTTTCGTATCTTGTCTTATCAGACAATTTACCCTAATGGCCATTGCCATATATCTTGTTCTATCTCTCCTCCTTCTTTTGAGATTTCTTTTTTTCCTTAACGTACATCATGAAAACATGACCCCCATGGTCATGTTTTTTTGGGTATTATAACTTCTAAAGGATACAACAAAACTGCCAGTCTTGTCAGTGGCGGTAGAGCTTCTCTTTAATTAAATAAAAAATGGGATTGTTCTCCCCTCCCCTAAAATAAAGGAAACAAAATTCTGAATAATGTAATTCTCTCTGACATTTCAGCATGAATGGATGGAGCTGTTATCCACCCATTAGGAAATATTAATGTACAAAGCATGACATTTATAGTAAATATAAAATCTGTAGTCATTTGGAATCTAGAATTGTCCATGCTTACAGCTCTACATTAGTGGTAAAAGCTTGCAAAAATAAAAAAGTAAAATCATTAAAAGCTCAAATGCAAGACAGCATGATAGAACAGATTTTCATTTATTAAATTCAAGAAAGATGTAAATGGTCATGACATTCATGACATTTAACATTGTTGAACAATAACAGTTATTAAGGCAGGCCAGGATGAAGGTAATTACATTAATATACAATATTGTTTGGCAAAGAAAACAAGGAAATAACTGTGTAGGCTTGAAGTCTACTTATAATGCTCACATGTATGTGACTGTGTGACCACTGAAGGGCAATGAGCAATTTCTAGATAAAATCTGCATCATTATTCTCATACTGCAAGAAGAAAACATAAAGCATAAAGAAAGAGAGCAAACAGTATAGTCACTCAAATAGAGTGTCAGAGTTAGAAGGAAAACCTGGAGCCTTCCTTTGGGGATGGAGAAAGAGAGTACTAACACCTCATTCATAACTTAAATACCATAAAAATGGGGAACACTGAAGCCTTTTCAAGGGTGTTTGAAATGGTAAAATTGAAGAAAATTACTTTGTAACTGTCCATGATACTTCATGATATAGGAAAATATTTAATAGTAGTCTCTAGAGGAATTAAAAAATTTAAATAGGTCAAGATTTCAAATAAGAGAAGAGGAAAGAAAAATGGAAAGGGAAAGAAAAAGGAAGGATACAAAATAATAGATAAAAAAACAAAGGGTACAACACTTAGCTCCATGAACGAGCAAGTGAACCCAAAGTACATGATATGTTGTGTTATGGAATTACAAGCATTATGGTGCACTGATGGATGCACATGACTCAACAATATACCCACAGAATTACAAACAGTTTTTTCACATCTCAGAAGGTCTTCAAGGCTTTGTTTTTTCATGTGTCATAAACTGTTGGGTAAAATACAAATCTCTCAAGAAAGGAAAAAAACCCAAACAAATCAAATTATTCCAAAGGCCTGTAAATTTAGTTTGGCTGTATTATAATTTCATATAACTACTGTGAAATGTCTTGATGTACAGGGGGAAATGAGAAGTTTACGTTCAAGAAGAAATTGCTGTAGAAAATAATGAAGTTATATATGTCTGGATAGAAAGAGAAAAAAAAAAAGAAACCCAAAGCAAAAAAACCCTCTAAATTTTGCATGAGTTTAAAATACATTGCATGCAAAGACAGGTTTTGCAAAATTTATTTTTAAAGGTTCTGTATCTTTGAGTTCACTGAAACACTAAGATATCAAAAAAATGTTCTTTTCATCGGAGAAAAAAACCAAACCTCTAAAATAACTTCTATATGTATATGAAAAAATTGCTTGATGCAGCATATACAGTAAAACTTTCTTTCAAGGTGGTGGATTGCATTTTTTAAAAAATAAACATATGTGCCAAAGTATATGTATAAAAAAAATGGAACATATTATAGTGAATGTTAATATATTATTTGTTTTCTATGCAAAAGAAGCTATTTCCTCTCTGTGTACAATTTTCCCAGACCACTTTGGTTTTAATATTCTACACTGAGATTTGAGTGAAAATGTTAAGAGATCCAAAGCAAGGTGAAAGTCAGTTATAACCTAATACACCTTAAGTATGCTCATGACTAAAAATGCTTATGGTACAAGTCTTCTTAAACAGGAGGACGTTACAGGGAAAATAAAAGCAAAAACAAACAAAGAACTAAGTGAGCCCCTTCCAGTGTATTCTAATATAAAATTGAATGGATAAAAGTGTCTGGGTTTAACCAGAAAAAAAGAAATAAAGGAGGCCATGTTATACTTTCAGTGAACATCATATGTAAGTTCTCAGTTATAGCACCCTTGTTTTCAACATTCAGGGTTACCCAAAGAAAGAAAAAAATCCATATCCAGATGACAATTTACAAAATACTGATCAAAAATTTATTATTCTTTTCATAAACCGAGTTTACTGTGTTACTTCCATCTCTTCACCTGTGCTGTATATTTACAGGAGTTTAACAATTAACTGTTTGGTATCTATTCACCTAATCATGAGTCCCTAGTTACATCTATGTGTTCACTGGTTATTTACAAAATACATGTATAAAGGAGAAGCATAATTAGCTAGAGGTGTTTTCTACATGCCTAATGGGGAATGGGAACTGTGCTAATAAATTAGTTAGACCAGGGGAAAGTTTTCATACTACTGGTGTGCCCAGACTGTCTTAAAATACCACCTAATCACCTCAGGATTGTTTAGAAGTTTCATTATGATGTTTACAGCACCAGGAAAACAAACAAACAAACAAACAAAAAACTTAATTTTCTCAAAGTAAAATGCTTTGCAAAATTCCTTGGTTTTGGTGAAATCTTCAAACCACTGTTCTGCAGCTTATCTGGAAGGTTAACAGCTTCGTGACAGTTTCTTCAAAGAATCCCTTGACCTCCTGTCAAATAGAACATCATGCAGTGAGGGTCCCCACTACTCTCCCTGGAGCAATGAACTTTGCAAACTCTTTTGGGGACGGAAAACTATGTTTCTTCTAACTTAGATATCCTCAGTTACTCTGCTGCATCAGAACTACAGATAACAAGAATATGGAAACTCATTTAGCAGATTTTTAAAATACACCAAATTATTGTTTAAAAAAAAAATCACATAAAAAATAATGTTAGAAATCTCTAATTGAAGTCTTTACAGTGTCACAGACCTTAGTTTGACTTCTTGAGAGAGGGATGGTTTAATTTCTTACTAATGTGCTATTGAAGATTATAGTTTTATGTCTAAAACCAGCATGACATTATGTACGGATAAATTATGTACTTCAAAGAAGAAGATATGCCCTAGGATTTATTTGTTTATTTATCGGTCGATTTGCCTACTTTAAGCTAATGATTTAAAGTTGGTATTTGGAACTTTTAAACTTGCGAAGATAATTTGTAAATGATCACACAGACATTATAGCATCAGAATGCTCATCTGCATGGTAAGAATTAGATGTACTGGCAGTCATGCTTGAACTGTATCCTCCCCTGATTTTCTGGAAGATGTCGAAACACCATGAGGGAGATGTTTGTTATTCATTCATCTGAGTTTAAAGTAAAATGTTTCTGCAATATAATGTGGGTTATGCTTGTGTGTAATAAAAATATTAAAAGAAATTTCACCATGTACAGAAAAATAGGCCTGGGGATATAAAAGATGGAAGCAAAAGGTTCTCTGCATAATTCCTTAATTGTGTGTAGAGTATCTCCAGAGAATCTACATAAAAATTAATACATTAAAACTGTGAACTTTAGTTTTGCATTTACAGTACTTTTTAATTTATTCGGGGTTTGAGATCAGTTCTATGAGTATATAAGCCTTAGGAGAAAGAATCCCAGTTGTTTGCAAAGAACAGAGAGTGACAACTGACTGATCAAACTTTCTGGAGCAGGAAAGTTTACAGCTGCTCTCTCCCAATTACAGTGCTTTACCATAGTATTTTTAATGCTGTGGATTGAAACCTAGCAGTCTTTTACACAGGACTGTGAAAAACTCTTCACTCAACTGGTTCCTGGGAGATTAATCAGAATTGTGTCATTGGGATGATTCTTTTCATCCTTCATTTGAAACTGCCTGGAAAGGAGTGAAAAAAGTATCACGAAGGGAGCTTTCTAAATTTCCAGTGATAAGGTATGTTTACTATATGTCCTGTGATTCCTTGATCTCCTTTTTCTCTGAGTAACCTGAGTGCATTCTCAGGGTCATAGAAGTATGCCATACCACGAGAAAAAGTGCAAAACAGAATCTCGTCAAGTCCAGAGAGACAAAGTGATTCTGGTCTACCTGGCTGAATGCAAATGTCAACAGTGTAAACGTCTCTGTCACATCCATTTACATATATTTACATATATTCCTTCTACAGTCAGTGGAGATAAACAGGAAAGTCTAAGGTATGATTCATATCATCTTAAGTAGAAGTTTAAAATGCATGTAATGCTATCAGCTGAAGTATTTATTTCTTACCACTGATTTTAAAGAGGCCATATACTAAGCTTAGAAATATCTAGAATGCAAATGCCTAAGGATATGTGATATTAATTCAAAGAATATTAACCAAACTTCTGAAAGAAACTCTAGACATTTTCCAGTACCCTTTAGTACTAAACAAGACCATTTAAAATTAATATGTTAAAATGCATTGAGATCTGTTGATGCTCAAATTTCTGAATTGGGAATGTGGAAACAAAAGACATAGCTTTTTATGATGTAGGGCAAAACTGAAGTTAAATGTTGGAGCTCTTGTGCTGGAGATATTTTGATGTCATCCAGCTCTAAATGAAAATGGAACCTCATATAATCTAAGTCCAGGATACAGGAACATGCGTAACTACATATAGGTAACTATACCATGGGAGTTGAATAGCATGAAATTTGTTACAGTAAATAGACTTTAGTCCAATAAAATCAAGTATGGATTTATAAGAATATTTTTTGAGACAATTAATGAATTTTTAATTAAAATTTTTGTTGAGGCATTTAAGGTAGAAAATAGGTTTAAATACAATAAAATAATCAAACCTTCTGTAAGTGTTTAGCAGGAATGCCAGTTTTAAATCTGTTCTGGATTCATTATTTTGTTGAAATGCTACATGATCACGTTTCAAGTCAAATAAACAAAAAAACAATGAACGTGATTAATGTACTCTATTGTCATTTTAAGGGGATAGAAACAAAACAATTTGAAATTGTAAGATTTTTATTTAAAAATTATTAAATAAATTATTCATCATGTTAGAGATCAGTTACGTATCCTTAGACACCAGTGTTGTACACAAGTTAGTCTTCCTAATTTTATTCCAGATTAAGAAGGGAGAAATGGACACTTATCAAGCAAAATTAATCTGAAATATTTTAAACATCTACGTTTAGGCAGGATTAATTATGTCCTGGAAATATGCCATCTCATTTATTCTGTTAACTATTAAGGCAGCACAGGGTTTTTAACACAGATGTATTTGACTCATTAGTTTCTCCTCCTTTGCATCAATAAAATATGTTGTCATATCTGTGACTGGCTTAGTGACAGCCAACTTAGCACAACTGGCTTAGCACAGCCAACTACCTCACCGCTAAAGGAGGTCACTTTTAGAGCTTCTGTTTCCAGAGAAACTAAGAATTAATACATCAATTCTCTCATCAAGATCAAAATCTTCATCAGCTTTTGGTGGCTAAACTGATGATTCAGCCACTGACTGAATTCATTGAATTTCAATCATTCGTGGACTAGCAAAATGAAAAATGCTTAATAAGCCAGGATGCAAATATGCTGCTAAATTTTCTGGATTCCTTTCCCAAGTGCGTACAATCTGAGTTCACTGACGTAACTTCTTTTACTTTCAAAGTACTGAAAGTTACCTTGAACTTTATGCCTTGAATTTTGAAATTGTCCACTATTCAGCTCACTAGATGAAACTTCATGAACTACTTTCCTGTATCATAATGTCCTCATAACATCCCTCATATAGAAAAAACACTTAATTTAGTCATGGGCATTCTGACAAATGATGGCATTGTCTTTATTTTCATGGTGTCTTGCAAAAATCACTGAGTTGCAACACAAACGTCTGGTGATCTCTGGTGGTGATAGCAAGTGTCCTTACATGGGTATGTAGGCCATAATACTTAAGGACAGAGATAATGTCTTGCTGAAGTTACCATTTCTGCTGATATTATAGTGCACTTCTGCCTCAGAGTCGACGGATTTCTCCTTTAAGTCAGGCCTAATTTTTGTTTAATGCTAATTAACATGAATTCTCTTCTTATTTCTGAGAGTCTAATTGCTGATTTCTCTCTGGAATGGAATATTACTCTGATGAAACCTTTAGAGGGATTTTTTTTTTTTTCTGAAGAGTTGATATCTTAATTATAAACATGATGAAATAAGTCACTGATACACAAAAATGACTTTCAGTTGCATTTTTCTTAATTTAACTAGAAATAAATCCCAAGTTTTATGACATTTCTAAGCTGGTCCTTAGAGAAACTGGCTATACCATGCACAGGCTGCTATGAAAAAGGGTGATGCTATGAAAAAGGGAGCACACATCACTTGATTGCTCTCGAAGGAGTGACACTATGTTTTCCTTTATTAGTTTCTAAATAACTCAACCCCTACTTGTTTTCAGTTAATTGGTGGTAATTTAAAAAGACTTGCCCAGTGGACAGTTGAAGCAGCAAGCCCATCAGTAGAGGAAGGTCTTAGCATGCATCATCATCTACCGTCATCCTTCTACTTATCAGTTTTCCAGGGAGCCAGAACAGCTGGACAAGACCATGTGTACTGCCCTCCAGGGTTGTCCTAGAAGGAGTCACCCCCCACAAAAAAATATTCCATTGGGCAGAGATGTATAGAGAATTATTATGTTCCATGATTAGTAAGAGAGTTAAAAAGCTAAGACATTAATATCAGAATCACTGCAGAAAAATAAACTAAAATTTGAAGGATTTTTTTGCATTCATAAGCAATCATCTTGTTCTTTGTTTTCTGTAATATATATAATCAGATAATTATGTGCTAATAATTTCATTTTGATTTTAGATATTGATCATGCAAATGTTTATGTATTAGCAAATGATTAGATTATATGCACAATGGACAGAATTAAGCACTTATCTGAAATTTGAGGTATTTTACTTTGTATTTGGGTGTTCTAAAGATGCCTGTTTCTTCAAATGATTCTGTGTTGTCTATCTTAGGTGCAAATCTTTACAGTTCATCAGCTGAATCTAACCTTTAATCATTGCATCCTGATATTTCTATAATGCAAATTAGAGGGCCAGATATTTTTATATTGTTAGTTTATAAAATTTAGTATTGCTTTGAACTACTACTATATTACTTTAACATAGATCTTGGCTAAATTTTGAAAAGTAGTTTTCCTTGGCTTAATTATATTTATTAGTCTCATTTTTATCTTAGATGATGTCTTATTAAGCTTTACAAATAAACAATCGAGGAGTGCATTATCAAGTATATGAAGATAAAAGTTCTAATCGGAAAGGTAAGAAAGGCTTTTCGGAAATATTGTCAAAATATGTGAGACTAACAATTCAGAAATTCAGATCAATATTCAGAAAAAAACATTAACTGGTAGATCTAGAAAGGAAACTTAAATATAGAAGTAGAATAGGCTAAACAATAAGAAAATAAAGGGCTTTCATGAGAAATCATTATATTTTATAATTACTATAATTAAGATAAAATATAAAGGTGAATTTCATAACAAAATTTAGGTTATGGTTATGTAATGAGCTTTCTACAGGCAATTTTGTACCTCCCAAAAATAAAATATCCTTTTAAATGTCTGACATGAGTGCTGCATGCTGAGTATCAGAGTGGATCAAATAAAACCAGGTCTTCAAAATTTACATATGGTAAAACCTTTTATGAATCCAAGTTTTTGGTTCTACATACAGACCACTGGCTAAGCCATAGTTTTTTCTTTTATAATGTTTGCTGGTATTAAAGTTTATTTTTAAAAGAAATGAAACCATAAAATATGTCAGAAAACATGTAATCATGTTTTCTCAGATATCTGTGTTCTTTATTCATTACAGGACTGATCAAATTTCTTTAGCACTCAGTAGCAAAATTCCCACTGACTGCACAACGGAAATGAGGGTAGGCTTAATAAGTGGACATGATCTGTTACTCTGTCATGAATATAGTAGTTTTACTTTATTTGAATAGTGTAATTTCTTATTATAAAATATCATATGGCCTCCTTGTATTGGTTTAGTTGTTTAATGTGTTTGAAAAATTTGCAGAATAATTGTAAATGCAAACTTATTTACTGCCAAAAGGTAAAAGTGCTTAGAATCTGTAAACTCTTGTGTTATGAAAAAAAAATCTCTTCAGCAAAGAACTTCATATAAAATTGTGTAAAGTGTAGGCCACTACAATTAATTTTATCAAATTGTTAAGCAGAAAAGAGGAAGAGAGTGGTACGCAAAAACCAGTGATACAGTAGACTGCTCAGTTACTTGTTATCCTGAGCTGCTCCTCCAAAGCTGTTTGTTACTAGACTACATCTTGTTTTGACATAATCCTCCTAAGAATTGATCCCTCCTTGTAAATGCAGCTCACTTCAGAATGTAAGCAAATTGGTTTGCAAGGATTGATTGATATAGGGAAGTAAGCATTCATTATGCACCATAGTTGCCTGTACTAGAAATGTGGAAGGATGACATTTTCCTCTGTCTGTCACTTCCTAGAATGGGACGAATATTGGTCTGGTTTAGCAAATGCAAATTGTATTATAATAGCATGAAAAAAAATTGAACTTCATTATAGAACTTGGCCCAAAATAAGTGCTTTGTATTATTAGGGGAATATTACTCAGGTAAATATTATAAAAGAGCTTATTTGTCTTATTCCTAAACAACACTAGTGAAACCTCACAGTCTTTCAGATTGAATACTGCGTTTCTTAAGTATTAGTCTGTGGAAGTTCTACTTTGTGAGAAAATACCCTTTCTTACAGCATTTCCCTGCTACTTTCGTACTTGACCCTCCAGAAAGTAAAGACTGAATTAAGCTGCAGGTTCACTGTGAGGGTTACTATTTGTAATATTCTTATACTGTATAGAACCCTGGTACAATGTGACATTTTTATTAT